TATATATCAAATTTATCTGCACTTACGCCGTCTAAGGGCTGGTGACTTGCGGTTAGGCAGAGTTGCTTGGTGGCAAGAGTGTGTGTAAAGGACACAATTGGGAGATGTTTTGACCAGAAGAACGCCTCCCAAGCTACCAGTGTTTCCATCGCACTGACTGAGGTGTTGCAAACCCGCAGTATCTCATTCCAAGTGTGTACCTCATTCGTCAGGCTGATGCCTGCCCGCCTCAGGCCACCTTTAGCCCACACTCGGGGGCATCACGCGCAGCCACAATCCCAGCCTCTGGCGCCCGCCTCCTCGTCTCATGCTCTCAGATTTCTGGGACGATCCGATTCTGCTGCGCATAAGACGGTTTTTTCTGTTCTCCCAGTCCCCCTGATGGCTGGGCTGGGCCTCATGTGAGTGCATGTCTCCGCCCTCATGTGCCACGTGGCTGGCCAGTCTTCACGCGTTGCCCAGCTGCGTAGAATGCCCCTCCGAACACCGACGTCCCAGACTCAACAAACCCGCCTGTTTGCAGTTACCATGCGCCTCCCTCCACGGCGTCAAAGCAAGGCTCAAGGTTGCTACCTTCTACCATTTCCCCAGCACTACTCGGCCCAGCTGAGGTGCTAACATGAGACCGGCCACCTGAACAAGTGAACATGGGCCCAAAGGGTTCGGCCTACGAGTCCCGGTTTCAGAGCTCGGCCAGATCACATAATTGTCCAGCAAGTCGTGCATGAACTAGGCTTAATAGTAAAGGTGATTATGGAAGAAGAAATGTTGGGTTTTGAGGAATCTCTGGATGTATAATTGTTGGGCTTCCTTCCATTTCAAGTGAAGGCGTGTGATGAACAGATTCGAAGGTCGATTCACTCAGAATACCAAAGCTAGTCAAAAGAAGTTGTTTGTCCTTGTTTTCGCAACATGGTCATATTGTTAGGAAGACTTATTGGAACGCATCTAGTCCGGGGTCCATTGTCTGCATGATCATTTCCAAAGTTGAACCGTGGACGTGGTACATTCCCAACTCGGGTTCGAGTCCCGCTGGAGCAAGGTCAAATCTGTCGTCCAGTCTAGTCGGGAGAAGAATATCTGCTGCGAGGCAAGTCTAAGTGAAATTTACATTTGTATCAAGTAGTTGTGGGAAAATTCTTTTCTCAGTTTTACTTCACTTCATACGACCTATGGTGA